GTTTCAACTGAGTGATCACATGATTATTACTACATGTGATGACAATATCATCCACATATACCACCAGGTAAATAGATCTAGAAGTTGAATGACGATAAAAAAGAGAATGATGAGCTTTACTCCAAGTCACGCCAAATTGTTGAACAACATTGCTAAATTTACCAAATCAAGTTCTTGGAGATTGCTTGAGACCATATAGAGACTTGCGAAGACGAAAAACTAGACCTGGCTAACCCTGAGCAACAAATCCAGGAGGTTGCTCCATATAAATTTCTCCTTAAAATCACCATAAAGAAAAGCATTTTTAATATCAAGTTGGTAGAGTGGCTAGTGGCTAGTGGCGAATAGCAGCCATGGCAATAAAGAGGCGAACAGTAGACATTTTCTCCACAGAAGAAAAAGTATCAACAAAATCCAATCCAAACTCCTGAGTGAAACCCTTCGCCACCAAGCGAGCTTTAAGACGATCCACTTGACCATCAGGACCAACCTTAACAGCATAAATTCACCTGCAACTAACAATAGATTTTCCATATGGAAGAGGGACCAGATCCCAAGTACCGTTGTGATGAAGGGCACTCATTTCGTCAATCATAGCTTGTCTGCATCCCGAATGTGAAAGTGCATCACCTGTAGTCTTAGGAATAAACACATAAGACAAAGAGGAAACGCATGCATAATATGATGGAGAAAGACGATGGTAACTAATATTAACTGTATACCTAGCTGGAGGGCGAGTATCACGAGTACCCTTATGAAGAGCAACAGAAAGGTCACTATCCGAAGGTGGGACCGAAGCTGAGGGAGGAGATGCAGTCGGATGTGAGCCCACAGAAACATCTGAAGAACTATGTTGGATCTCATTAGGAGAAGAGGTGATAGAAGGAGAGTCAGAAACATATACTGGTAAAGGCGGAAGGTATTCAAAGGAGTCGACTGGGAGAAATCACTAAACAGAATCAGTGTCCACAAGAGTAATAGAAGAGCCAAAAAAGGGGAACTGATTCAAAAAAGGAAATATCGGCCGATATAAAGTATCGACGTAAAGTTGAAGAGTAGCAACGGTAACATTTTTGAGACCGAGGATAACCCATAAAAACATATTTATGAGACTTGGGAGCTAGTTTATCCAAACCTGGACCTAGATGATGAACAAAACACGTAGAACCAAACACACGTGGGTCAAAGGATATAAAACTTTATGGGAAAATAAAATAGAGTGAGGTACCTGGTGATGAAGAACAGATTGATGAGATAGCATTCAGTGAGTATAGCATCTACCCAGAATGTGTATGGAACATTGCCATCAATTAACAAAGCACGAGTAGTTTCAACAAGATGACGGTTCTTGCGCTCGGCAACACCATTTTGTTGGGGTGTATGAGGGCAAGATGTTTGATGAAGAATGCCATGAGACGAATAAAATTGTTGAAACTGATAAGATAAATACTCACATGCATTATCACTACGAAAAGTACGAATAGGAATACCAAATGGAGTTTTTATTTCATTATAAAAAAACTAAAAACTAAGAAATAACTCAGAACAATTTTCCATTAAAAATAACAAAGTACATATATAATAATCATCAATAAAAGTAACAAAATACTTAAATCCTAAAGTAGAAGAATGACGACTTGGTCCCCAAATATTAGAGTGGACCACAGAAAAAAGGGAGACAGCTTGACAACTAAGACGACTTGGGAACGTACTACGAGTATGTTTCCCAAACTGACAAGACTCGCAATTTAAACTATAAAAAGTCGATAAATGTGGAACCATCTTCTGAAGCTTTATAAGACTAGGATGACCCACACGAGCATGTATAGTAAAAGGAGAATTCACGGTGGAGCCGGCTGAAGAAGAAGGAAACAATTGATAGAGGCCCCGAGACTCACCTCCTTTGGCAATCTCCTTCCCCAAACATTGATCCTGAAAGATGACAGAGGTTTTAGTAAAAGAAACAACATAATCAATGGACTTTGTTAAACGACTAACAGAAAGTAAGTTAAAAAGAGAATATGGAACATAGAGAACATGATCCATAGATAAATGAGGTAAAAGAAGAACCGTGTCAATCCCACGTGATTGAACCAGAGATGCATTGGCCATAGTAATAGTAGAAAATAAAGCAATGATACAAAGGGAAGTAAATAATGACTTATTACCCGAAATGTGATCAGAAGACCCCGAATCAAGAGTCCAACGTCTTAGAGAGTGTAACTGAGAGATTCCAGCAAAAGAATTACCAGTGAGAGCAATGGATCTAGTAGGACCCGATGTTTGCTTCTCAGACCATCAAGTCATAAACTCTTTAAGAAGAACAATCGGAGGTTGTGCAACAGAATGTAACCCTGAAGCAGAAGTACTAGAGGAAGCCTGAGCAACATGAGCATTCCGAGGAGGTTGGGGTGGCTTTCCATGTAGCTTCCAACAACGGTCAACAGTATGATTGGTCTGATAACAATGAGTGCATAATAGCTTTCCCTTAGAGAGTTCACATCCACGACCATAACCCTAAGCAGCAAGGGCAGAAGAATCAACAGTATCAATTGGAGGTACATGCGTCATAAGAGGTGCTGGTGACGTAGAGGGCTTAGGTGGAATCCTAAGCAGGGTAGACATCACATAATCTAGTGTATGAATTGTAGCAAATCCCAAAATTTGATCCCGATTGGCAAACAATTGGTCAGGTAAACCATATAAAATGAACAGCATAAAAAGTGTATTACACTGTCCCTGTTCCTCAGTAACATCACCAGTGAGGGGCAGAAGTTCATCAAGATCATGAAGAAAACTCGGAGCTTTCCCCAAATATTCAGTCATAGGACAATTGAAGTCTCGAGGAGCAAAGGTAGTCATCAATTTATGACACACACCATAAAGTCGCTGTGTATCATTGGTGTACAATGCTTTTGCCTAACTCTAAATTGCTTCACAGGTATTGGCAGGTCAAAAAACCTGCTTAATTGACAGATGAAGAGTAGCTTTAATGAGACTACATAACTGAGCATCAATCATCTTCCATCGTGTGCGCTCATTAGCCACCACAAAATCAGCCTTAGTAGTGAGATGTGATGTATAATCCTGCCCATCTAACAAAAGTCGCAGATCTGACAACCAAGTATCATAGTTTGACCTATCCAATTTATCCACACTCAGCGGAGCAAGGATATAATTTGAAAAAATAGTGGACTTCGACTTGTAGCCAGCCGGAGACCCAAAAACAGAAGAGATAGGGGAATCCATAATCAACATTAGAAAAAGAAATCAGAAAGACAGATCACACAACGAACCGGTAGAAGAAGGATCTATGCGTCAACGAAAAACGAGGTCAAAACACCAAAACAAGACCAGATCCAGAATCGTCGCGGAGAGACAAGAAGAACGCAACCAGCCACGACCGGAGAGGAGCCTCCATGCGCTATCGGTGTGAAGAGGGTGGCGCAACTTACACGCGCGCGTGAGGGCGGCAGTGAATTAGAGGGGGAGGCGCGGCGGCGGCGGCGGAGTGCGCGACGGCGGTAGATAGTATGATGAGAGAGAAGGGAAGAGAGAGAAGGGAAAAGAGAGAGTATGATCAAAGAGAAATGGGAGAGAGAAGGGGAAGTGAGGGTGTATATAAGGATTAAATCTGGATCGTTAGATCAAAAACCTAATTTAACGGTGAGATTGACTGGTTGTCACATGGGTGTAACATGACTTGGTTGTCACAATATCCTATCCTCATATATATATGTGTGTGTGTGTTCATTTTTTCTACAGTCAATGTAAATAACTTATCTAGATTGAGCCCAAAATGACGTTATTTTGGGACGAAAATCAAGGTATTTTTGTAATTATAATTTATTTCAGGATTAAAATGATCTTTTTCATTATAATTTATTAATTTTTCAACATAAAACGACGTCGTTTTGAAAACGAATGTAGATAACTTATCTACATTTATTATAGAAACATTAAAACCTATATATATATATATATATGGAATTTGATGTTTTGGTTTTATCACAAAAATATTTTTTATGTCATTAGTGAGTTTTTTCTCTCTCTCAACAATAAAATTCATTCATTTTTATATGAGTTAGCAATATAAAAATATATTAAATATATTCAAAACGGAAAAATATTTAATACACATCTTTCTTATGCCATAAGTATACTGTTAAATATTAAATATCCCATGATTAATTAGAAATTTTCTTTAAAACGTTCGTTAGAGTTATTAATTCATTGAAGAATCTGGTGTGATAATTCCTAAGAGGGGTACTGGCTAATTAAGATTAAAATCAATCAGTCAATAGACGCTCAAAGAACCTGTGGGATTACGGAGAATCTTTCCAAAAACAATTCAATCAGTGTTGAATTTATGAGGCGGGGCCGTGGTCCCATTAATTAGCTCTTGAGAAAACCTGAGTAAGAGTGTAGGACTAAGGCGGTGTGACCGTTGCTTTTACGCGCGTTACGCGAGTTTGGGCCCAAACTTCCGTTACTCTCCCAGCACGAATTGACGTGGAGAGGACAAGGAAGAGGAGAGAGACATGTGCGGTTTGGTCGAAACTGGGGCCTACCACTTCGGAGATTTGGAACTGCAACATCTTTTCCTCCTCCGTTAAAGCCCTCATAATTTTCCCCAAACCACAAAACTGCCACACTAATAACCATTTTCGTGAAAAATAAAATAAAATAGGATATGATCATGTGAAAGAATTGTACTTATACAAAATTGAATCAATAATGATAAAAGAATAGAGAAAAAAATATTATTACATAATTATAAAATCATAATCATTAATTTACTTTTTATATGATTATATTTCATTCTTTTTTCACAAGGAGAGAATCCATTTCCATTCTCTTCCGCATTCCATGGCATCAGTCGTAAATTTCTATAACAACAATGGCAACAAAGGCAAACAGGTGGCCCTTCAATTACGCAATTCTTAAAAATATAAAATTGAAGAAATGAAAATAATTTTAAAATGGAAGATGCAGGTAATTTAATCCAATGGATTCACTGGGACGGATTCTTGTAAGTTGTAACCTGCCGCTGTTTATAGCTCTCTCAGTTCCGCGCAACCAACAAAAGCCTTCACCTACCCCTTTATAAACCCATCCTTTCCGCTTTCGTTACCTCTCTCACACTCTCTCTCTCTCCTTCACATTTCAAATACAGAAACTGTTAAAAATCATGGCTGGTTCCATCAAAAGACATTGTTTCTCTGAAGAAGACGATGGTTTGGCTTCTTTAACAGACATGGAGCCTGGGTATTCTGGGCATAATCACTTCCATTACCAACGTGGTTTTGTGTCTCGGACTTTGGGTTATGCCTCCTTTTATAATACACGTTTCAGGGACCTTTCTGTTTCTTCGTCAAGATCTGGGAGATTTTATGATGCCAGATTTGAAGATCACCAACCTCACTTCCTTGAAACATGTTTTCTTTGCAAGAAGCCACTCGGAGATAATAGAGACATCTTCATGTACAGGTTAGCTGCCCATGATCTGTGTTCTTAGACATGTAATTCCAAGATTTCTTAATACACTCTCAATATCAATTGTTTGAACCATTATGTATTTTGATTCAGATTTAAAACCTAGGGTTTTATTTATTCGTCTATTATGATCTGTTGAAAATGAAAAATTCCAGATACAAGAAAATGGAAAATACCTATTTGGCTTTTCTTGGTTTGTTTGGTGTTGAATTTTTAATTTCAGAATGAATTTGACTAGATCTCCATGTATTTGCTTCTGATGGCGGTTTCAATTGCATACTTGTTTCAGAGGGGACACTCCTTTTTGTAGCGAAGAGTGCAGGCAAGAACAAATAGAGTTAGACGAAGCTAAGGAGAAGAATAGGAACCTTTCTTCTTCCGTGAAGGCTTTGAGAAAAAAGGAACAAAACAAATCTGCTTCCCCAAACAAGGCCCAGGATTACTCCTTTCGTACTGGGGCAGTTGCTGCCGGTTAGTTTTCCGGAATAGGCTTATAAGAGTGAATAGTGGAACTGCTACGGTGTTTTCCGGAAAAAGAAATAAGATTGAAGAATGAAAAGTAAAAGTAAAGTTTTCTTTACCCGAAGAAGGGTCAAGAGAGAAGCGATCCCCTCAGCAGGAATTTTTGTTCATGAAGTTGAGAAGCGTGTTGCTTGTGTGATCCTCTCTTCGAAATGGCCCATTTTCGGGGTTTTTTTTTTAATATTTTTTTACATATATTATATATCAACGTTTTCTTTTTCTCTCTTTTTATGTTATTGTTGTATCTTACATGGTCGGTTTCGAAGTTTTAACCAAGAAACTCAATACGAACTAAATATATCTTTCCCTTTCTACTACTGGACTATTTATCAGCTTTTGTAAGGTTAAATATTTTGAGTCCATAGAAACAAATTTTAAGGCACATGGACGAACCTCAATGACGAGAAGCACTATGGAATTTTGGTGGAGGCATGTGAAATTTTGAGGAGGGGAACAATCGTTGTTGAAAAGAAGGAATAGATAATTAAAAATCAGAAAAGTATTCTATCATTGTTTTGTTTTATTTATTTATTTACTAATTTTCTTGATTTAGAAAAAAAAATGTCGAGCTGTTATAGTAAATGTAAATGTGTTTGTAATTGAATCATAGTTTTATTAAGTTTTATGCGGGTGATACCGACGAAGCCTTACTAATATCATTAATATATAAAATAATCAGAAAACGAATTTAGGGATGTTCAGTTGGATTTTGAAAAGGAAAAAAGAGTGCTCAAAACAAAAGCAGGCGTTAAATAATATTTCTGTTAGAAAGAGAAACTGAATATTGGAGTTTGGACGGCGAAAATTACTATAGCGCCATCTGCGGCTTGGCGTGAATTATAAATATCTCAAATTTTCAGGAAAAAAAAAATTAAAATAGTAATATTTTAATAAATAATTATGAATAGATAGCTATTTCAAAATTATTACATTCATCGTGCCCAAATTAGCTGTGACTATTCTCGCCCAAATTAGACGTGACACCCAAGGCATTCACGCCTAATTTCGGCGTGAATCATCTGACGCCCAAATTAGGCGTGACACCCGAGGTATTCACGTCTAATTTAGGCGTGAATAATAACTTATGAACCGTAAAATTTTGGAAAGCAATAATTTTTGACTCGGCTATCTGAATGAGTTAATTTTTTTTTATTTCACATAACTTTTCGAGATCTACGCAATGACATCTCATTTGATATATTCTATCTCTCACAAACACAATTCAAATTTGCAATATTTGTATTATATAGTGTATTACCAAAAAAATTTAAAAAATTATTATTAATAAGAAAAACAAAATAAAGATTTAATTTGTGATTTAAACTCAAAAAACAATTTGAAAAATCTGTATTAATAAAAATAATAATTAAATAAATATTATAAACACTTGGTAGAATATTATATAATTTTGTATATATTTTAATAATTAAATAAATAACCTTGCATTGCTTACCAAAAAAAAAAAAAAAAAACCTTGTGCACTATTTTTTTTCAAACACTTGGTACAAGTATATATTTTAATATGACATTAAGTATCCTTATTTATAGATGAGTTAATCCACTTTGGTGTCATCTTTATAGTATCATTGTTGCAAATTTGAATTGTGTTTATGAGAGATAAAATATATCAAATAAGATGTCATTGCGTTGATCTGAAAAATGTTATGTGGAATCAAAAAAAGAATTACCTCATTCGGATATCCGAGTCAAAAGTTATGACCTAATAAAGTTTTATGGTTAAACTATTAATTTTTTGTAGCACGTGTCAATACCAGACGAGTCACGCCTAATTTAGGCGTGAATGCCTTGGGAGTCACGTCTAACTTAGGCGTGAATAGTCACGTTTAATTTGGACGTGAATGAGTGCATTGATTCGTATATAAGTTCGAAACAACAACTTATTCGTAATTATTTATTAAAATAGTAATATTTTAAATTTTTTTTCCAAATTTTCAAGGTACGAGATTTAATTTTTTATTTGGAAATGAAATGAAACAAATATGATAGGAGGATTTTCTGCTTAACTTTCCTGCAACGTCCATGACCCTTCTTCATTTTATTCTCAGCTAAACAGTGGATGCGTCCGTGATCCACTTGAAAAGGAGGTAACTTCATTCCCCCATTTTGTATTTTTTATTTTTGTAAAAATAAAATAAAAGAAGTAAGGTAGCTAAACAAAAAAATTTCTATTAGTTTGCTTATAAGGAAGTTGGGTGTTGGTAGATGCTTAGATTTCTAATATTAATGACAAGCAACTTCTATTTTAATAAAAATAAAACCATTAAATGGGTTATATTTTATAACTATTATTTTGTTATATGGATGTAGAGGTAAGAATAATAGACCATATCAGCATATGTCAAAACTATTTATTATTATTTTTGGGAGCATAACTAGATATGATCGGCAAAAAAAATTAATTTATTATATTTTAAATAAAAAATTATAAATTTATGACTATTTTAAAAATATTTAAGTATTTATTGCACAATGTCATGTCTCTTTTGGGCGTCACATGTCATGCCCAAAGAGGGCGTCACTGCCTGGTGGGTCATGCCCAAACCAGGTGTGACATGTGACGCCCAAAAGTGGCGTGACCCATGCAGCTTATATAAACCCCTATTTTTTCTTTTTTATCATTTCGCACTTTACTCTAATCTCTCTCTAAGACGATTGTGCTCTCTACTTTACGTGGAAATTTGTGTAGCGAAGCTCTGCTAACAAAAGTAAATTTTTAATACCTGCTATGTATATGTTTAAATTACAGTGCTACATTACGAATATGTTAGGGTTTAACGTATATTAGTGACTTAGAAAATTTTTATAGTGACTTAAGCATTTTGCAGTGACTTAGAAATTTTGTAGTGAGTTATGAATGCTGTAGTGACTTAGGAATATTGTAGTGACCTAGGTATTATTATTATTTAATTACGAATTAATTAGTGACCTAGGTATTATTATTATTTAAATTAATTAGTGACCTAGGTATTATTATTAATTAATAAGGAATTAATATACTTGATTATAAAATTGTTAGGAACATGTGATAATTTGTACGAATTAATTATTTACGAATGAATTAATGACCTATGCATGATAATATTATGTAGTTACGAATGAATTAGTGATTTAGGGTTTTTGCTTAATAATTTTGATAGTGAATTAGGAATTTGCTTAATTTTTTTTTGATAGCCTAGGAATTTGCTTAATTAATTTTTAAATAAATGTTGTTGTTACATGTTGTAAGTTGTTGTTTTGTAAATTATTTTCAATGTTGTATTACACTTGTATGCATAATTTTATTATAAATTAACGATTACAATAAATTCTCAACTTTGTATAGTTTTTTATCATGGCTGATTCATTATCATCTAGGGGTTCTGCATCCGATCATGAGCTAGAGCTTACCGATCCTAGTATACATATCGTACCTGGGCCGTATAGGTGGGAGGTCCTTCGGAACATGTTCGTCAGTTGAAGACCCGACATGTTGGATTTATACATGGTCGTCGATTACCTCACACAAGCTGGATTTATACATGTTGCACGCATACGACATATTCAGGCATGCACTTGACGATGTGCTCTCAATTACAATTGCATCTTGATGCTCCCTCATGAGGTTGAGCTTCAATGCCATTTGAACATCCTTTTTCGTTGCAAATTCTTGGTTCACAAACAATTTGTCAACGAGTTGCCACAGACCTTGTATTGATCCCTATCCCGAAACTGAACCATCAGTGCATGATTCTTGTTCGCTTCGATAACTCCAATCAATATGTGTGTAATGTGGAATTCCTTCGCAAAAAGGAATAACAACATTGTCACCTGCATATAGGAATTAAAACTTGTTAATACATTATTCAAACACCCTAAATCACATAGGAGTTACTCTCTAAAATACCTTGATGATGTTCTGCTAATTGTGCGGAGCCCATGTCATTAAGTTGCGGGATTTGAGACTCCACTGGTTAATGGTATACTGGGATTTGAGACGCGCCCCTGTCACCACAGTCATCTCCTTCAGATGCACTAGCATCCTCAGCCAGAAGATGTTCTTCCATTGCGATATTTTCATCATCATTGTCGTCGTCATGCATAAGCCAAGTAGGATCATTTTTATCTCCCTCAGAAATGTTAGCAACTGGAGAAGTATGAGCAGCGGACGTTGATGCAAGACGTGGAGAATTTAAAGCAACTGACCTCACCGGTAAGGCTACATCTGCTCTGGCAATGTCCACATACAACTCCAGAAAATATTTCCTTGACTGGTTGAAAAATTCTTCCATTATCATCTTGACGTCTTCATCATCAACCACTTGCAAACTAATGTATTGATCGCATTGCCATAACCTTGTGGTGATCTGAGTGATACATTGGTTACCATGAAGAGTAAACTTCTGACGAATTCTCTGATGCAGTTCGTCAATGGTTGCGTTGCGTTGGATACTTGTTGGCCTTTTTTCACCTTCAAACATGACACATCGTCGGCCTTCCACCCTTCCTACCATTGTAATATAACACAATACGAACATAATCAGAATGTGAACTCATTTTAAAATGGAATAACAAATAAAACAAAAGACTAAATTTAAGCTAATAATTATGTATGTAAATATAAGAATTGATGGTAGAGAAGAGTTGTGAAGAGTGTATAGAGTGATAAGGGTTTATATATACTTTTTTGCAACATTCACGCCCTGGGGAGGCAACATGTCTGCATGTGTCACGCCTAATTTGGGCAGCACATGTCACGCCCCATTTAGGCGTGACCCACGCGGGTGTCACGCCTAAATGAGGCGTGACATGTGACGCCCAAATTGGATGTGACATTGTGCAAAAAATGCGTAAATATTTTCAAAATAACCATAAATTTGTAATTTTTTATTTAAAATGCAATAAATTAATTTTTTTGCCAGATGTGCCCACCCGTTTACATAATTTACTCATTTTATTTGTAAAAAAAAAATTTGTCCTTTTAAATGACACACTATGTACTACATGTAGTACATATTTATAATATTAAAGTTGTTTTTCTCTTTAGAAGTTGTCTGGTGACATAAAAAGTGAAAAAAATATAACTTTAATATTATAATTATGTACTATCTGTGGTACATAGTTATAACTAAAAAATACACACTGAACCCTTGTTTATATCCTTGTAAGAGTCGAAAAGTATACCTTTATCCTTACAGCTTTAACCACAACCTTTGTCTTGGCA